CCTCTCTTCGCATTAGGTGACCAAAGTATCTGAGCTTGAGCTTCATTATCAATCCTCCCAACGAGCAATCAGGGTTGATTTCCTTTAAGATTGACTGGTTAAAGGCTAATAAAAAAGCTTCAAAAAGCTAGTTTTTGAAAAATTATGTCTCTGGGACTGAGCCCTACTGAATTCAGTGAGACTGAACTAATGAATAAATACTTAAATGTGCTGCAAGATATGAAGGTTGAAAATATGGATACACCCACAAATATTAGTTATTTAAATTTCCAGAGCTACTGTTAAATAGGTATCTCACATTGCAATGGTCATTAAACAGGAATGTATAACTTGATATAGGACTCAGATTAAAAGAAGTCATTGTTCCTTCCTATTCTGCATAGTCAGATCAAATATTGTGTCTGGTTATGAGCCCTACATTTTAGGAAGGACTTTGATAAACTGGAGTCTGTCTAGAGCAGTGTTGTCCAAACTTGGCCACTTTAAGATGAGTGACTTCAACTCCCAGAATTCCCTAGCCAGCATGGGGAGTTGAAGTCCACTCAACTTAAAGTGGCCAAGTTTGGACAACACTGGTCTAGAGAAAAGCATCCAGGATAATAGTAGGTCTGGAACTTAGAAAAATGGAGGCATGGGGTACGTTTAGCCTGGAGATGAGAAAACTCTGGGGAGATATGGGAGCTGACTTCAAGTATTTGAAGGGCTGCCATGTAGGAAATAGAGCTATATTGTTCAGTGTTGTTCTAGAAGATAAGGCAAAAGCCAATGAATTTCAATTACAAGGAATTAGATTTCAATTGGATATCAGGAAATCTTTCATAATGGTAAGTGCTGTCCAACAGTGGAGTAGACCAGGGTTTATCACCACAAGGACTTGAATGGGTTCTGTGGGACTAAGGGAGAAAAAAAAAATCTGATAAGGGGGGGGACCCTCTTGATAAGTGAGTTAGGCTTAGTTCCTTGGAGAGAGCTCATTTTCTTTCCTCCATTCAGACATTCAGAACCCCACCCCTCTTAATCAGAGGGTCTGAGATTTTTTTTTTTTTTACAAACAGATTCTATGGCCTGAGTAAGTTTGAAAACCTCTGAATTGCATTACTTGTGTTGGAATAGACTCTTCTTCCCCGGATGGCCACTGTGGGTATATGGTAATAGTAGATCCCTGCCCTGCCCAAAGGTTCAGATTAAATTATCTCCAAAGTCCTTTCCAACCCTTACAGTCTATGGTTCTATGATTTTAGATGATGAAAGCTATTGAAAAGCAAGAACCTCATGCTAAATTTATTACTCCCAAAGCAAACCTTGAATGCCCTGAATCTGAAGCATAAAATTAGAATGAGTCTTTATCATCTTCCCGACTAATGCATTTACTCATGAAATTTTGAAAAGCGAGAACCCACTTTTTTCACATTTTAAATTGGGTGGTCACATAGACTACCAGATCTGGCCTGTAAAAATCTGGATGATCACTAGACGGCTATTGGGATTTTTGCAGCCCAAATATGGCAGCTTGACCATTAAGCTGCAGTTTTAAAAATTGAGGTTGTAGAAAGTTGGGGAAATATATTGTGAAGAATATATTATGAAAGCTAAATGTGTACTATGGAAAGCAGAAACAATTTTTTGGGAGGCTTGTTGTTTATTTCATACTTTAAAATAACATAATTTAAAATCAGCTAGTTACTTTTCAAAGAAACCAGCAAAATACTGCAATTACCTCAAATATCAATGAAAAACCAGACACAGAGTTCTCCCATTATGACTGATTGCTTTGCCCATCTCTACTGGAATGTAACACTAAGCCGTCTTCCAGTGAAAACCTAGCAGATGGATCCTTTTTTGAGTTCTTCTTTTTCTTTCTGACTGTTTTGACCTGAAGATAATCCTCGATGGGTTTCTCATTTGGGTCTTCTAGTAATGTTGTCAGTAAATTAAACAGTAGGGCTATCCAAGCAAGCCCAAAGATAATCCAAATTGCTACCACAATCCGATAGCCGGGGAAGTAGAACTTGTTATGTTGCCTCCCTGGGAACACAAAAAAAGGAAGAGACGAATAAAGGAAGAATAACTTAAAAGGCAAATGCATTTTATCTGAACTTCTCTGCTCAGTGGAACAAAACTGCAACCGAGGGAAACTAAATGCCTGATGTTGCACTGGGGTTAAGGGCTGCTTTAGACATAATGCCAAACTACTTTATTTTATTCATGACAAGCTATTATATGTTTTTATTACAATGCATGTATTTAATATTTATATTATATTTTATTACACTATATATATTATTAATTTTTATACCATCTTCTATCAGTGCAGAAATTGGACAGAATCAGTGAAAATGCAAGATGCACATTTTATATACAATCATAATAAACAAAATAGTAACACATTTCTGTCCTTAAAAACATCAAGATTGCACATTCTTCCTTCCCTCACTTCCTCCTTGACTTGAAAACCAGAGCCTGATGTTTTCTTCCAAACCAGATAAACAGCATATAACAGTATTTTTCAACCTTGGCAACTTTAAGTTGTGTGGACTTCAACTCCCAGAATTCCCCAGCCAGCCATTACCCAGATTGAAAAACACTGATGATATAAAGTACTGTATATCATCATTATCACCAGCATCCTCGTCATCATCTTGTGCTAGAAGCCATGGTTAGTTTAAAAATTATGTCAACCCTCCTACATAGAACAATTCTTTAACTCTGTTCCACTGAAAATTAAGGAAGACTTTACAGAGCTGGAGACATTCTGCAAGGACCTTCTGGGTCCCAGACCATGTTCCTATTTCTTTGTTATTGTTTCCTGGATTTTAACTAAAGACTCACACAAATATATAAAACAAGTTCTGCCTCTGGCTGAATTTGTAATTCGAGGCAAAACCTAC